ATGGTTTTCAGAATCACTATACTCAATCAAATAAAAGTCAGTGTAGTTTGGTGTATTTCATGATCCAGTTGCTGTAGTGTTTCGTCCCTTTTAGTCTTAATAGATTTATTTAAGGATCTCGATCATATTTGTATTGTGTTTTTAAGATGATTTAATGATAATTTAAAACAGTGTGTCTTTACTGAATGAAAAAGGTGTTGTCTACGTCACTTTCCTTTTCCGGATATTTTGTGTTGTGTTTTTAAGATGATTCCATGATAATTTAAAACAACGCATCCTTAGTGAATAAAAACGACGTTTCCTTCTTCGATTCGTTTTTCCTGATATCATTTCCAGTCATTAGATCAACAATAAGCATCTAAAGAACAGTTGAAGTGCTATAGATACTTTGAAAATTTTCAAGTATACCACAAAAAACAAACATATATATGAACATTTCAGTATTATCTTTATGGCCCCTTCAATGGTACAGTGGCATGTCTGCGGACTTTCAACGCTAGAATCCGGGTTTCGATATCCGCCGTGGGCAGAGCACAGATAGCCCATTGTGTAGCTTTGTGCTTAATTACCAATAAACAATTATATTTATGCTAATGAACGACTAATTATTTAACTTAACCCTAAGATCAGCTTGATATATATTAATTTTAAATGTCAAATAGAGTTTTACAAAAACAACAACAACAACAACAAAAAAAAACGAGTCGTGTAGAATTTGTGTACCCATTAAGTTCATGTTCAATCATCTATTGTTCATGATCTATTTAAACGCTATTCGTCAAAGTGATTCAGTAGATTCAAAGTAAAGACGAATATATGTTTTGGTGACTTTTTGTTTACAGAGGTTACTCTGTTTTAACACTTATTCATACAGAAATAATGCTGCTTATTGATTCCGGCTCTTTGCATTCGTACATAACTTTGTATACGTCCAGATGCAAATATTTTAAGAACATGAAACATAATTATGTATGCAAAACAGCAAATGGTGGCATGCAAACGTTATCATTATTTGGTAAAGTAATAAAGAAAATCCCAAATAAAAATAATCTTCAATGATCCCATATTTATGAATTATTTGTAATTCGTTACTTCATACATGCGTGCCACCTGGTGGGACAGCGGTGAAGTTAACAGATTAGCA